TTGGTCGGTCGAAATCTCCTCTGGGATCGTGTGTCGTGCAATGATTTCTTCCAAGATGAACCGTGCAACGGTGGGTGGCTTCTTGTTCGGGATGGCTCGAGCTTCAACCCAGCGGGTCAGTCGTTCAACGGCGATGATAACGAGTCGATTTCCCCGTTCGGTTTTTGGAAAGCCGCCCATAAGATCGATGGACCAGGCACGGCCTACCCCGGGTTTCACCTTCACGGGTTCAAGTTCGGTGCGGGGCGTTCGGAATTCTGTGGTGGCGATGCGGCAGTCCTCGCAGTCCTGACAAGTGCGGACGCAATCTGCGCGAAGGTTGCTCCACCAATAGTTTTGCTCAGCTACCAGCTTCTCGAGTTTGGCGGCGCCCATGTGGTTCGTCCCTTTATGTCCCCACTCTAGGATCCTTTTGCGCTCCTCAAGGGTGGGGATGACACGTCCGGTAGGGTGCTTTGTGGTTGGGCGAGTTCGGAGCGTTCCGTTCTCCATTACAAAGCTCTTCGCTCGCTTCATAACACGTCTGCGTTCTTTGGAGGAGAGGACGGTGGGGATCGTTCCGTCTCGTAGGAAATCGACCACATAGTGATCGTCCATGATGTCTGCGAGTCTTGGACGGGTTATGTTCATGTCTCCGGAGCCCTCTGTCTGCTCCATGTGTGGATCGTCGTCTCCTTCTTGGGGTTCGTCCTCAGAATCCGACGAGTCGAACCGGATGTGCCTCGGTACGGTGCGTGTCTCAGGAGTCTCGCTGGGCAAGTCGTCGTACTCCCCTGCGTTGCTTTCCTCCACCCTAAGAGGGGAGACGCCCTCGTCTCCAGCCATGAAGGCGCAAAGTTCAGGGAGGGCATCAGGGTTTGGGTTGGGCGGAATACGGCTGAGTGCGTCCACGTCAGCATGACGGGGGCCTGGCCGGTATTCAATGTCGAATGTGTATTCCTGCAGCTTGAGCGACCAGCGCATGAGCCGGGAGTTCAAGTCGCGGCTCTTCATGAGCCACTGTAGCGAGTGGTGGTCGGTGACCAGGGTAAAGCGGGTACCATGTAAGTAGGGGCGGAAGTACTTGATGCCCCAGACAACCGCCAGGCATTCGCCTTCGGTGACGGAGTAGTTGCGTTCAGCGGGGGTCAGCGCCTTACTGGCGTAGGCAATGACGTGTTCGGCGGACGCCTCATCGTGTTGGGCGAGAATAGCTCCAATGCCAACGCCAGAGTAGTCGGTCTTCAAGATGAACGGCCGAAGAAAGTCGGGGCGGGCGAGGGTGGGAGGGTTCGTGAGGTGCCATTTGAGCAGCTCAAAAGCCTCCTGTTGTTCAGGGCCCCAGACAAAGGGAGTGTTTTTCCGCAGCAAGGCTGTAAGAGGGGCGGCCTTGGTAGAGAAGTTGGCCACGTAGCGGCGGTAGTAACCGCAGAGTCCGAGAAAGGCACGGAGCAAGGTAATGTTCCTTGGAGGGCGGAATTCTTTCACCCACTTGATCTTATCAGGGTCTGGGCGGCAGCCTGCGGCGTCAATCACGTGTCCCAGAAAGAGGGTCTCGCGAAGTGCAAAGCTGGACTTCTTTGGGTGGATCCGAAGGTTGGCAGCGGAGAGGGCCTCGAGGACAAGGCGGACGTGTTCAAGGTGTTCCTCGTACGTGCTGCTGAAGATGAGAATGTCGTCCAGGTAGACGGCGCAGAATTTGCCGATGTATGGTCGAAGGACGACGTCCATGAGTCGTTGAAAGGTACTGGGCGCATTGCAGAGCCCAAAGGGCATGACCTTGAATTGGTACAACCCCCATGGTGTGATGAATGCTGTCTTGGGGCGGTCTTCCTCAGCCAAGGCAATCTGCCAGTAGCCACTTTTGAGGTCGATGGAGGAAAACCATGATGCCTTGCCAATAGTGTCGAGCAAGTCGTCAATGCGAGGAAGAGGATAGCTGTCCCTCTCCGTAAGGTTGTTCACAGCGCGTAGATCAACGCAAAAGCGGTCGCCGCCATCTTTCTTGCCGGTTATAATGGGTGGGCTGGCCCACGGGCCATTGCTGGGTTCGATGATGTCGTCGGGGAGCATTTCCGCGATGGCTTGTTCAATCACCTTTTTCTCTCTTTGAGAGAGGCGGTAAGCGCGTTGTTTGACTGGGAGCGCGTTGCCAGTCCGGATGTGGTGCTTGACGAGGTCCGTGAAGCCGAACTTACGGCCTTTCCATTGGAAGGAGCCCTCAAAGTCCGTGAGGAGTTTGAAGAGGCTGTCACGTTGGGCGTCCGTCAAGTCAACGCCGCGGCGGATGGAGCGAATGTTCTCCATGATTTCGTCAAAGTTGACGACCGCCGTAATGGAGGCCTTCCACTCCCCGCAAGTTCGAATGCGGTCTGGGGGTGGAACAGGCGGATGGTTCAATTTGTAGGTGGCGTAATCGGCTTGGAGTGTTGCCGCAAACTCTTCCGTGACCTCGTCGAGGAGATCGTCGTCTGCGGGGTCGCACTCGGTATGTTCGCTGGAGTTGGCTTGTGGAAGAGGGGTAAAGTCCTCATCATCAGAGTAATAGTCGTCGTCCGAATCTTCACCAACCAAAGGCGGGGGCGCCTCATCGTCGTCCGACTCGGAGTCGTAATACGATTCGTCATCGGAGTCATCGCTGATGAGAGGTGGGACGGTATCGTCCTCCTCTTGGATTGGTAGGATGTCTGCCGGGGGTTCGGCTTCTGCCATGTCAGGTTCGGGGAGCATCGGGCTCGCCTCAGCATACATGACACTTGTGGAGGTGTCAAAAGCGATGGGGATTGAGGCGTAATGGTTCTGGTCGAGGCGGTACCGCATGGAGCGGTCCACATAGTTCAGAGTCGCGCCGACTTGATGGAAGAAGTCGCTGCCGAGCAGGAGATCATAGTTTGATGCTCGGACAACGTGTACATCCAGCGTGATGTCGAATTCGCCAACCCGGATGGGAAACTTGGGCAGAATGCCCAGGGGTACGTCACGGTCGCCGCTGGAGGTGCGGAAGCTGCATATGGGTGGCTGCAGCATGTCCAACAGGTCATGTTTGCGGGCCAGCATCTGTCCCATCAAGGTGGCCGAGGCGCCACTGTCTAGGATGGCCTCGACGGGTTGGTTGAAAATGTCAACCTTGCAGCGTGCCACCGTGTAACGGGTTGGGAGCGAGTTGGACATAGCCACCGTGTTCGTCTCGCTGAGAGAGGCGGTCTGTCCGGAGTCGGCAGCAGTGAGATAGCGGAGGAGATCGTTCCGAGCTTTCGGTGAGATGTCCAAGAGCGTTCGGAAGTCGATTTTAGCAGTCGTCGCACCGAGTTGGTTCACGATCGAGTACTGCTGTCCTCCTTGATAAGTGGTGCGGGGAATGTTGGAACGGTTTTGTGCCGCTCGGTAGCGCTGGGCAGCCGAAGTGGGAGCAGGGTTCGGTGGCTCCTGGCGAGTGGGTGTTTCCGGAGTCTGCGCTGTGGGCATCGGCGTGTCGGTGCGCCTGGGGAGGTTCATCGGGAACGGGGTTCGCTTTGTGCGGGGACCCTCGTCTTCGTCGTCTGGACCGCGAGTTCGCTTCATTGCCGCTGCCGTGTCGGTCATGTATGGGTCGTACATGTTGCCAGAGAAGGCCTCCATGCTCGTGACATTGACGTGTTCCTCCGCCTCCAGTTGTGCCTGTTTGGCAGCGTAGCGAGCTGCCCAGTCCTCTTCTTCGTCGAGGGTGTCGGTTAGGGCAGCAGTATCCGCCCGGCAATCGCGTGAGATGTGTCCCTCTTTACCGCATTTGTAGCAGATTCGAGGGTTGCGGCGGACCGTGCCGGCGGATCCAGCCGAAGTGTTACTGCCTTGGGCGAGCAGGCGCAGGTCTCCTAACCTTTTGGTCACGTCGTCAACGGCAGCTTGGAGAGGGTTCTGAGAACGTGTCTCGGCCTGGGCAGGACGGGATGGTGTCGGCGATGGGATGCCAGATTTTTGTTCCTCCTGCTTTGGGCGATCGAAGCGCCGTGGTCCGTTGAAGGGGCGCGCAGACTCGGTGTAGTTGTTAGCAAACTTCTCTTCATTTGCCTCGAAGTAATCGGCCGCCTCTTCTGCCTCCTTCAAGGTTTGCGGCATGCGCAGATGCACCCTTTGCTGAAGGGGTCGGTTCAACCCGTTGATGAATCGGTAAAGGAGGGCATCGTCGGAAACTTTGTCCGGGAGCTTTGATGCGAGGTGCCGTAGTTCCACGAGAAAAGTTCGAGCAGACTCGTCTTTCCGCTGCTTGCGATTTTCGAAGTCATGCATGATGTTCAATTTGGAGCGCAAGCGCGAGAATCGTTCAGTAAGCTTGGTGGAGAATTCCTCCCAAGTCCATAGTTCAGTGTCCTCTTCGGACTCCAACCATTTGTCAGCTTCGCCTTTGAGGCAGACAAATGCCATGTTCAGTCGTTTGTCATTCGACCAATCGCATGCAATAGCGTACTTGTTGAAGGCGCGGAGCCAATCCTTTGGGTCCTTCCGTCCATCGTATTCGAGGAATTGTAGATGGCTTAAAGCCGCGAGCGAATCCATGGTTCTTTGGTTCAAGTCCACGGTAGTATGTGCGTTTGAGGTGCCTTGTTCACTAGATGCCTCGTAACCTGGGTTCCGTAATGTCTAAAGTTGTGTCGTCGTGACTCCAGGGCGGGGAACAAATCCAACCGGGTATCGGGTTATGGGTAGTGCAGCCCCTTGCACTGTGGGTCCCCAACCTAGCCGGTTGATCTGCCACTAAAGCCAAGACAGGCACAACCCGGCCTACGGTGTGTCGGGGTCAACCCGGGGTCACGGGACCAGCCTGCGTCCTACCCACGGGAAGTCGGGGCGAACCCTCACGCCTGACACAACGCGACAAGAACCGTGGGTTTCTTCGGCAGTCTCTGTAGTAACTTCTTGTACTTTAGAGTAACTTCAAGGGTGTTCAC